AAATTGCACGCTCCGTCAGATCCTCAGCCCGTCCACGGTACACTTTAGTCGAAGAAGAAGCCTTTACCTGGTTTGACGATAGATCAGCTCAGTAAGCATCCTTCAGACTGTTTCCAGCACCTCCGTTAAGCACAGCTAAAAATCCTCGGAGAGTCGTGCGTGGTTAGCTCAAAACAGACTTATAATCCCAAACGTCCCTGGTTCTTCATAACTCCAAACTCTTCATAACCGGCTGCACTCTCAATCTGCTCATTCTGTTGGACTATCGGACCTGTTGTCAGCTCTCATTCCAACATCTCTCAGAACTCTCATTCTCTTGGAATTCTGGAATCCATAATTCTCTATTCCTTCTCTTCTTCATCTCCATACTATGAACTGAGAAGTTGCCACATTTTATTTGGGTCGACTTCCTGTTCAATTTAGAGCTTTCTGATTCGTGGAAGGACCAGAAAGAGGAGTGGATTTGTGACGTAAGATGTTATCATAAGTCAAGGATTGTTTACAACATACAGAAAAGATTATTGCAGCAACAGCAGACTTCGTGGAGTCTCACACTTTGTAATCTTTTCAAATAGTAAAACATGACATTTTTCTCGGTAAACATTTTAGTTGACCGAAAACCAACCTTTAACATACTTACGACAGCTTGCTCATTTCAGACAGAAAATCAAGAAAGGCATATTCAAATGATTTCTTCTCTGAATGAGGAACAAAAATCATTACTTACTGTTTATGTAAAAATAAAAATTAGTAGTTCTTTTCAACCTGTAAAGCATTGAGTGAACTAACACAATTTGATTATCAAAACATTTGTAAGACAGTAATGATTATAAAGAATTGTCTTTTCTGCTTGATTAATTCAAGAAAGAAAGTTCATCAGATGGTTCAGACTTATTCAGATCAATGAAAATAACAGTCTCTGTCCATCTGGTAGATTTGAGGTTATCTGGTTCACTACAATTGTCTCTAGGTGTGATGGACTTGCAACCTGTCCAAAGTGTCTCCTCCCTCTGGTCCAGTGATAGCTGGACATTGGCACCGCATCAGTGACCCCCGTGACTTGAATAGGAAGAAGCGGATAGAAGATAATGGATGGATGGATGGATGGATGGAAATTTAAATGTGATTTGCATTTTTATTGAAAATTTACAAAAGTTATGTTCCATTAGCGGAAAATCATTTTTAAAAAATTCAAAAATGTATAAGTGCTGTTTGTGAAAAAAAAACAAAAAAAAACACAAGTTAGAGAACAGTCAGGGAACTTAAAAGCAAAGACGTTAACTATGGCTGCAGAGTTTGCAATACTTCGCTCCTGGACACATTGTAAAAGTGAGAGAAACACTTTCTGTTGGTCTCAAGGAAAAACTTTTTTTTCAGCTTTGTGTCCAGTCTTTTAGATCTTATTTATTTCTGTCAGATGAAAGATTCAGCTTTTAAATCCACTTTTTGCTGCTTTATTACTTTTTTTAATCCACCTGCAGACATTTAAAATATTTTTCAAGTTTCAGGGTTCTTTATTTGTCATATGCACCACATGTGGTGCATGTGGTGGAACGAAATTGTGTACACAGGGTCCCAGTTACATCCAACAAAAGTATAAAATGTAAAAGAAAAACAGTAATAAGATCTAAGATATGAACTAAGAAAAACGTTAACTAAAAATACACTAAGCACGAGTAGTATAAAAACAATAGGCCGAACAGCAGCACGAACATGAGTCTGTTAGAGCAGATGAGTAGACTGCTTTTGCGCTTGAAATAGAAGGTAAATTTGGAACTATACTGTATAGCACTCATTAACTGAATGTATAATTTCAGTGTTATTTGGTCACTGATGATGACACCCTCCGTTTTGCTATGATCAGTGATCTTGGAAGTCCAGTGATTAAAATACAGTGACACCTGCAAACCACTGAACACCTCTTACCACGTCGCCGTGGATACAGCGAGGTCCTCGTCTTCTGTAAAGGGGACTTATAGGTGTAACAGTGTGAAAACAGCACGTTTGATTGCTTTCCCTCACTGAAACACTTATTCTTGTCCTCTGTCTGTCCGTCTTTCCCCATGTTTTTTCACGAAGGGTCTATTACGGTAATGATAAAATGGTGAAGGTGTAAGAATTGATCTCTTCTCTGCGCAAGAATTCTTTGGTCTATTTCCTGCAGCAGTTGAGCAGTTGAAGCCCAGAGTTTGGTGGTAAGCTGCCGACAGTCTGTACAGAACATCAGGCCGAGGGCGTGGATGTGTCAGCCTTCTGAGTCATCAGCACCTTGAACAGCGTGCTGACCTCAGATAGCAAAGTCTCAGAAGGCCAAACTTCTCTGAGTTATAGCTGAGGAACTTTCAGATGTGAGGAGACGTCACTCTACTATAACTTTAGAGGACTAAAAGCACAATTTATTACAATAATCTCCATCACCACTGAACTGCTCATTTTGTTTGTAAATGTTTTGCTAGAGACATCTTGTTTTCTAGACCTGCCCAAAGCACCACATGCCACTGAGTGATTTATTTTGAGATATTAATGTTGTGACTTTACCACAGATGGAGAAAGAGGAGGAGTCCAGGTCATCCTGTGGCAGCAGCTCACTTTCTGGGGATGGGGACACTTTGGGAACACAAATCAATCAATTAATCAATTGTAATCAATTTTGAGGGGCAAGGAGAGCCTGGCCTCAAGGCGTGGTTGTTGACCTCAGAGAAAACATCACGTGCAGACAAAAAGAACTACATAAGTTATAAAAGTTGCCAGACAGGATTTCTTACTGCAACGTGCACTGCAGGTCACGAACACGCCACATGCACAGATTCTGTGTATCACACTGTGGGATGACCTGTGCAATATTTTCCATGCCTTGAAAAGATCAGGCATGACTTTTAATTGACAGTATGCACCTTGGCTGGAGAGTCACATCCTGCAGAGACAGTGTGAGCGTTGCAAAGCATGCTGGGTAGGAATGATGTGTACAATGTTTCTGATTGTTTATGATGTTCCTGAGTGTGAAAATGGGTTTATCATGTTATTTTTCCTGTTCTGGTTAGGTTTGGCATTTATGTTAAAGTCACTGATATTGTTTGTAAACTGACACTATGAGTCAGAGACTGTTTGTGGCGGTGGTGGGGTGTTATTGCGCTGGTGTTTGCAGCTGTTTTTCTTTTCCATTTATTTTATGTTGTCATATTATTTTTTTGCTCTGTGATAGCGGAAATGTTCTTTTGCAGCATTTTTTTTTTTTTTTGTAGCAGTTGTTTTGGAGTTTGCACCATTCGTGTGTTTGCAGTGCACTTAGTTAATGACGCTGTGCGTTTACAGTATAATTTGGTGCAGACTTGAATTCACTGGATTCAATTTTATCATGAGCTAATTTCTGCAAAAGGTATTTAAAGTTAGCAAAAATGCCAATCTGCTACATAGAAAGTTAGCTCCACTATTAGCAGTAGTGATGGGATCAGCAGTTCTTTTGAGTGTACCGAATCCCTAGAATCAGTTCCTTTAATGATTCGTTGAAAAGATTTGTTTACCGAATCTTTTCACCGAATCAGTTCATGCAGTTTATTCGTGCAATAGATGTGTTTCACAGCACCAACTCGTACTACGTGAATGAATCACTCCTCAGGGACAGTTCTCTGTGTGTGCGCATGCGCAAATCAGCAGTTCGTTCATCGAAAGAATCAACCCTGCCCTCTCTGTAGGAAAGACTGAAATGAAAATTGTTGAGTTTATCAGTTAATGTATAAAAAGGCAGGAATATTAAAACAAGGCTGTATAGCAGCTGTAGCAGAAAGGCAATTAAATTGTGTCTAGACAACACTTTTTCTTCTTGACTCCATCATCTTCACTCAGTGTCTCACACTCAGCCACCCCCACGCTGCTGCTGCAGCTTGCCCTGCTGTGAGTCTTCCCCTGCCTCGTCTCCTTTCGTTCCTTTTTGCAAACTGTCTGTTAAGATAATGGAGATGGGGCGTGTGTGCATTTATTTTCATGTGACTCAACATTAACAGTACAAGACATTAGTCACATTCACTCAGGCGTCACCAACAGTCCCTCCCTGCCTGCACGGCACAGGCCGCTGTGTCGTTCATATTCACGTCACGAGCAGAACGTAGAAGTTCCTGACCAGCACGCTCGCGCTGAGCTCAAATGAACTGAGAAAACGTTTGTTAACTCAAAAAGATTCATTCACTGGAATGAATCATTAGTGAATGACAAACAAAGTTCAGTCAGGTCCTCTGGATGATTTCCTTTTTGTTGAGACGTTTCGTCCTTCATCCAAAGGACTTCATCAGTCCGAGGAGCCACAAACAAACTTAGTTCCACAAGCAGCACAATCTCATAGTGGGCCAACCAGTTTGCTGGTGATCAGATGGTTTCTGGGGGTCGCCCTCTCCCCCGTTGTCGACTCCTCTGAGGCAGCCATAACCAAAGTGGTTCAAAACATCAAAGTTCATGCTCAATAATCCAGGGGGAAAAAATCCAACAATGTTCAATCAGGTCATCTGGATGGTTTCTTTTTCTTTTTCATCAATCTAAGGAGCCACAAACAAACTGTCCCACAAGCAGCACAATCCCATAGTGGACCAACCTGTTTGCTGGTAATAAGATGGTTTCTGGCTGAGGCAACCACAGCCAAAGTGGTTCAAAACAATCAAAGCTCATGCTCACTAATAACACTAGTGCTCATTTTATTGACGCTCAAGTGTTCTCAAAATGTAAATGTGAGCAAACAAGTATTTTATTAGAAAACTTGTACGCATTTCATCGGTGTGAAATGTTTATTTCAACCATTCCGCTCGCGGTCATTTCTGGTTTAACTCCTTTTAATAGTTTATCAACTTCCTCAAATATTTCTGAAATGCATTATACTTATTGGCGTTGTTGGTTTTAATTTAAACACAATTTGAATGTAGTGTGCGCAACACGGTTAAAATGTATGTAGTAGAAACACAGGAGGGCGCCCGTGAAGGCATCACCAGCTCCCTGTTGTGCTGCTCGTTGTTTGCTGCTGGCTCCCCCTCTGCCTTCAGTCCCAGTCCGTCCCCGCTGTACAGCGCAGGCCCGAAGTAGCGCAGCCGCTCTGAGGTTAGTGCCCTACCGCGCAATCTCCATCTATTTCAGCCCCGGCGCAGCCGCATCATCGAACCCGGCAGCGTTCGAGTGAAGGATGCCGATTGTTTAGATGTTCGCTGGACTTTTGCTATTCAGCGTTTAAAACTATTTTGTGTCGATTCGTGTTGTTGGCGCGTATCGAGAAATGAGCTCTGAGAGGGGAAAGAGATGCAGGCCGCTAGGCCTATCTTAACATTCTGTTTCGTTTGATATTGCGCGGGTTTTATGCTAGCTGTCGTGTTTCTGTGGTTTATCTTAACACAGCGCGCACGGGAATTATCGGTGTCCCTGTACAGAGCTTTAAAAACAAACAATGCTTTTACTGATCGGAGTTGTGCTTTTAGATAACCCACAGTTTTAAAATGATTAGCTTAAAGCTAATTAGCCGAATGTAGGACGTTGTTAGCTTAGCTGTTAAAAGTGGCTAACACAACTCCACAACAATGCTGCTGCGCGTGAGCAGCATCTTATCCCTTACACGGTTCTGTGAGTTATACCTCGTTGCCGACAATGCAAATAATTAAACGTGTATATATTTGTCTCGCTGTGCATGCTTTTCAAGCGTTTACTGTACCTACTGGAAATTAAGGGCACACACAAAAATGTGCATTAATCCATAACTTACCAACTTCCTTAGTTGTATTTTACGTCAGAAAACTATTGTGAACGCTACCTGCTCTCATGCATTTTCATAAATGAGCTCATATTGTGTTAAGGTGTCCTCAATAAACCAATTTTATTTACTTTTTGTGTTGCAGTTGCCACATTGTAAATAAAAGATAGTGTTAAATGATGCATGGGTTTGAAGTGTTTCATTAAATGTCATGTTTTTCTTTTTTTGTATATTCAGACTGTAATAACCTAAGTCTCACACACAGTGTTCCCTGCTATTAAGGCACAAAAACTGTTCATGTGTAAATATAGTTTATATTTGATTATCAGATATGTACTGGCATGTGGACTGCATAATAATTAATGTGTAATGTGACAGTAGATGAGCTTTCCAGAAAGCTTATCTACTGCTTTATTTAATATTTATATTTAATATGAAGTCACAATCTGAAGTCGTTTTTGACGCAAAACAATTGCAAAGATTTTGTTTGACTCCTTGCATTGGCAACCCCTGCAGAAGTGTGCAGCGGAAAGCAAAACAAAAATCTGATCAGTTTTATTTATATCAGCTGCCCCAGACTCAACAGGAGGAGTGTGGTTTGGGTGAATTTGTCCAGGAGCAGGTTCGATTGACTGGAACTAATGGAATGCTACTTTGGTTAATATCAGAGTTTGAGCTGCCAATTTGCCTTACAGGAAACTTAAACAAATGTATACATTTTGAATAAATTGTTTCTTGAACAAATCACATCTGCAAGATTAACTGCAGCATCATTAACCTGTTAATACATGCACTATTTTCAGCTGTTTTAAAGTAAATAATAGTTTACTAACATATTGGAAACCTGGTATAGAGAGTGGCAACAGCTGTATATACTGGGAAACATGCACTTTGTATGCATCCATTAAACTGCAATGTTTCAATTTGTTTTCAGAACTTTATTATAGATAAGTATAATCAATGTCATGGACTTCATCCTGCATCTTTTATCCTTTCCGTAGTAGTTATTTTGTGGACTGAGCTGTGTAGACCAGGTGGCTGATGATGGAGGACCACATCGTGAACCAGACAGAGCACATGACCACCATCGAAGCCAGCGCCGTCAGCCAGGTCGAGCTGCTGCACATATGTGCATCATAATTACGCTTCTTAAAATGACAAATGTATTTAAGCGTTATTAATTCATAGCAACAGATATAAAATAAGATTCATATCATGACTCAGATACTTAATACTTATCATGTACTAAGAATGGTACTGATGCTGCTCTCCCAGCAAACTGCCGCACTTTGGACTGTTTCCATCTTTTGTACTTTTTTTTTTTTTTTTTACACTTTTTACATTTGTTACAAACATTGGCTTTATGTTGATATTTTATTTAGTAAACTAGAAATATTTACCCGATTCCTTCATTATGATTAGGTACATGTGGCAACCTATACAGAATCATCTATGATGAGTGCTGAAGAGGACTCAACATCCTCACCAGATGATGACCCTTATGATGACACAGACATCCTCAATTCAGCTGGTACTGATGAGGTCACTGCTCACCTTGCAGCTGCAGGTGAGTCGAAAAGTTATTATTGTATACTTTAGTTGCTGGTGCTTATATTTGGTTGGTTATATTTAATGTAATACTCATACTTGAACAGCAGGGGGTGCTAATGTTATTTATATTAGGGCAGTGCAGAACAATTACTGTATACTATGTTACCTTTAGACTTTTTCCTCCTTCATCCATCCATCCATTATCTTTTGCCCACTTCTTAATTTTTTGGTCATGGGGGGGGGGGTGTCACTGCCCCATGTCCAGCAATCTCTGCGAGAGGCCCTGGACAGGTCCAAATCCATCACAGGACCACATTGAGACAAACAACCATTCACACTCTCACATCTAGTGACAATTTAGTGTTACCAATCAGCCTAACATGCATGTTTTTGGTCTGTGGGAAAAAAACGGGGTACCCGAAGAAAACCCACGCAGCACGGAGAGAACATGCCAACTCCACCCAGAATGGCCCCCCGGCCCAGGTTCATTCCATTGACCTTCTCGTTGAGAGGCAGCAGCTCTACTCTATCAACTGTGCCGCCCTTCTATTTTCTTTCCTCTTTTTTCAAACTTAAAAGTATGATAGTGCAAACATGGATTTTGTTAAAAGTTATAAACGTATGCATCTTATTAAATTATATTACCAGCAGAATTGGTTTGAAAGGAGCAAACTGACACTAAACCACAAAATATACAATTATATGTTTTCTTATTAGTTTCTTTTGCTTGTAGTCAAACTTGCTCTTTTGTTTCCCTCTCAGGGCCAGTAGGCATGGCTGCAGCTGCTGCCGTGGCAACCGGGAAGAAAAGAAAAAGGCCTCACATCTTTGAATCCAATCCCTCAATCCGCAAGAGGCAGCAGACCCGTTTGCTCAGGTGAGTTCTTTACAGAACGTCTCCACTGTGTCTTATTTCCCAGCAGGTAAGTTGTACTTTAACCACCTGAGACTACCATTGTTTGGCTTTTAAATGAACTTACCGTTAAATGGTGGTTTGTGGTTGCAGGAAACTGCGTGCTACACTGGATGAGTACACCACCAGAGTGGGCCAACAGGCCATAGTGCTGTGTGTCTCCCCCTCTAAACCGAACCCTGTGTTTAAGGTGTTTGGTGCTGCTCCATTAGAGAATGTGGTGAGTGTTTGATTTACTTCAAGTATATTGTACATATTTGTAAGCTTGCTCTTCAAAGTATTTTCCTGATCCTAAATCAGATCTGATACCTCAAAAGTGCTTTTATTAAATAAGTGGGAATAACGGTATTGGAACAACTGTGAAAAAGACAACAAACCATGAATTTGTTGGTCATACAAAAGTATTTTTTATGTGTATATTACAATTTTTTTTTTTTTTTTTTTTTTTTTTTTTTGTGATTTGGCCTTCTCAAATTCCTGTTGACTGAATAACTGAGCCTCTGCTGATTTCCTCCTGGCGACTAGGTAAGAAAGTATAAGAACATGATGTTAGAGGACCTGGAGAATGCCCTGGCGGAGCACGCCCCTGCTGGTGGAGAGCTGGCCTCAGAGCTGCCCCCGCTCACCATCGATGGCATCCCCGTCTCGGTGGATAAAATGACCCAGGTGAGGCTTCCTCCCACTCAACAGTGAATAATGCATTTTTAGCATTAAATGGTTCTTTTGTGGGGGCAGCACGGTGGCGCAACTGGTAGAGCTGCTGCCTCTCAGCGAGCAGGTCCTTGGTTCAAACCCCGGTCCAGGGGCCTTTCTGGGTGGAGTTTGCATGTTCTCTCCGTGCATGCGTGGGTTTTCTCCGGGTACTCCGGTTTCCTCCCACAGTCCAAAAACATGCATGTTAGGCTGATTGGTAACTCTAAATTGTCCCTAGGTGTGAGTGAGAGAGTGAATGGTTGTTTGTCTCGTTTGTCTCTGTGTGGCCCTGTGATGGACTTGCGACCCGTCCAGGGTGTACCCCGCCCCTCGCACAGTGATTGCTGGACATGGGCACCAGCGACCCCCGTGACCCAAAATGGAATAAGCGGGTAAAGAAAATGGATGGATGGATGGTTCTTTTGTGGTTATGGCAACATTTTAAACCTAAGTTGATGCTACCAGTAGGGGGTAGTAGTTGCCACAAAACAGTACAGTAGTGATTAAAAATATTTAATATGTAGCATGAACAAGAAAAAGCTTGGCTATTTCTTTATCAGTGTCAGCTGTTTACCTCTAATGATATCGTTTTGTATATCAATGCTTTTATTTTAAGGAATGCCAAGTTTAATTCCAGTCATACACAGGTTGTGTCAGCACTTGGAAAACAAACTAAATCTCCTCTCTGCCAGAGAGCTAGTGGGAGTGCAGAGTCTGCTGCATTTGGAAAGCCTTTCGCCGCAGCATTAGCACCACTGGCTGCCTGAGTCCTCTTCACCCAAGGGAAGCTGGCTTGTTTACTCTACCGTCCCCGTGCTGCTGACGCACTCTGCGGATCATCATCAGAGTAGCCGGCATGAGCGCGGCCCTCAGAGATGGCCCGCAGCCCAGGGAGCGCAGCAGCCAATCCTGGGTCAGATAGATCCTCAGAGACCGGGTGTTAGTCGGTGCTTGTTTTTCTGGAGGACGGAAGATGAAATTATCTCGAGTAACCAGAAGCAGGTGAAGCAGCGAGGGTGTTTTTAACAGATTGGTAAACTTGGGAAGTGGATTTTCATGAAATTGAGCTAATTCAAACGTGATTCATATCAGAAAAGAGTTAACTTTGTCTATAAGTTCGTCTGCAGTGGGTTTGAAACACAAAGATACATGGAGCATCTGTAGCAGGTGATCCCTGGTCTAGCCTGAGCCCTTAATTACCACCTACCTTTGTTAAGTTCAGAGACCCAGTAACATAAAACTAAATGCTGATTGGACCACTGCTTTGAGGATTAAGATTGGGGGTGGGGTGGTCGGCATGAAGGCAACATGCCACTTAACTAACTAGCCACTTTAATTAAGCCATCTGGTCCTGCATGCAAACATCCGCATCGCCCACAGGTGGAAATGCAGGAATCCTTTTGCTACTAAGTCCTTGTCCCGAGCTAATCCAAGCCGCCATTCCTCTGTTTACCAAAGTGGAGATGTATTACTACAGCCACCAGATGCGGTGTCTACCCTCCATTTTGTAGCATAATCCATTTTGTCATATCTCATCATTATTTGATGCACTGAGAAACTATCTATAGGTGGCCTGTGATTGTGAGTTAGAAAAGAGGGGTCTAATGGAGAGGAGGAAGGGATTTATTTCTCCTGGAACCAAATTTAGCCTGTGATGTCAAAGTAGGCAGACGCTGCAGAGCCTCACTGTGCAATATAATCCCCCCTGGTGATGCGTGCATATTACCAGGACACTGAGGACATTGGCACTAAACCACCACTGCAGCATGGCTGTGATTGCATGTTTCTGCCTGTTGGAAGTGTTGATGCTAAAGTGTGTAAAATAAGCAGATTTCAGAAGGATGATAACAATAATTGATGTCTATTATAATGCAAAATGGCCTCTTCAAATGCTTGTAACACTGTTAATGCCCGTGACAAATGTACTAGAGCCTATGCTGGGACGGGCTGACTGCCAGACTCGTGTTAGGTTCTCGTGGTGTCCGTCTGACTCATCAGACTGGAGCCACGGCCAAAGATCAGTCCCATAATAAACACACCTTTTTAGAAGCCCCTGTTTCTATTTGCAGGCCTTACCCATCTCAGCAGGTGCACAATTAATATGTGTCTGCTGCTTCTGGCTCAAGAGTGTGTTTGCTCACGCGTCAGCCTTTGTATGAGAAACTTTGGTTGGTTAATGGCTCGTTTGTTGTTGTTGCTGTTTTTAGGCTCAGCTGCGAGCGTTCATCCCAGAAATGCTGAAGTACTCCACGGGCAGAGGGAAGCCTGGCTGGGGCAAAGAGAGCTGCAAGCCAGTGTGGTGGCCCGAGGACATCCCCTGGGCCAACGTTCGCAGCGATGTCCGCACCGAGGATCAGAAACAGAGAGTAAGACAATTACTACCAAAAGATTTTTGAAAGGAATTCCTGCAAAGACATACTGATACTTAACTATGCACATTCAGTCTGGTTCACAAAGTAAGTTTGCTCCTTATAAGCATCAAATATTTATTAATTGCCATTAAGGACCAGCAGAATTGTAATTGCAATTATTTATTTTTATACATTTTGATGTTTGCCCATCCAGATGTGGTGTAAAGAAAGAAAATGAGAACCTCACAACTTTTCCATACCAGTCTTCAGCATCTCTACATTATCTGTGCTTCCTCAGGTATCTTGGACGCAGGCACTGAGGACAATAGTGAAGAACTGCTACAAGCAGCACGGCCGCGAGGACTTGTTGTATGCTTTTGAGGACCAGCAAATAATTCCAGCAACTGCAACCCAGCACCACCTGACCACTGCGCAGAGTATAGCTCACCTTGTGCCCTCACAGACCGTCGTTCAGACCGTCAGCAATCCTGATGGAACGGTCTCGCTTATCCAGGTGCATTGAGGTTACTGTGTATTTGAATAGTGGCAAACTATTTCAAAGTTCATTATAATCAGTTTCTGCATTTCTGTCTCAGGTTGGGACAGGACACACAGTTGCAACATTAGCAGACGCTTCAGAGCTGCCTGGTGTGACTGTGGCACAGGTTAACTACTCAACTGTGACTGATGGGGAGGTAATAGCTACATGCTTACAAATACACATATACTACACTTAAAACCAGACCAAAATAGGTGGATTTGATGGGGAAACACATTTCAGTTGATCATAAATCCAATTTGAAGAGTATTTTATGTTTTTCCTTATGTCTCCCTCTCTAGGTGGAACAGAACTGGGCCACCCTTCAGGGTGGAGAGATGACAATCCAAACAACGCAAGCGTCAGAGGCGACGCAGGCCGTAGCATCACTAGCTGAAGCTGCCGTTGCTGCCAGTCATGAGCTCCAGCCTGGAGCCACGGTCACTATGGCTCTCAACAGGTGAGGTCAACTCAAGTTGGCTTTTATCATCTTTATACCAAGGATTGTTTTATTTCATATTTGCAAATTAATAACAGTCAGTTGGATGCATCATGATATTTTTTTTTTTTTACATTTGTTCTGATATTTGAATAATGAAACTAGCATTCCTTGGAGGAATGCATGTTAATTACCATCTTGCATTCTGAAGGTTCAAACAAACAAAAAACACTCTGGCTCAATGGACTTGTGGTCATTCATGCGCTTGTTAAGATCAAATGGCTACCGACTGGTAAACTGTTGTAAATGTATGACCAATGATTAGTTCCTGAGACTTTCACTAAAACTGTCCAATGACTCAAGAAATGTTCTTGTAATAGACAGACAGGCAAATGGACACGTTAAATTACATGATAACCCATTTTTAATGGCAGCAGGTGTCACAAAGGGCAGCAGTCCTGGCAGGTCATTGGATGCTGAGTCAACTACTTTAATCACTGTTCAGCAGCTAATTCATTAGCAGACGCACTTTAGATCTCAAAGATGTACAACTAGTGTACTGTTTGTTTGCTGCTCTACTGTTATTGATTTATTTTAGATTGATAGATCCATCAAAATTAAAATAATAATTCAGGTTAATTATCATTATCCTTTTTTGTTAACTTTATTTGGTTACTTTTGGGGCTGTAATGGTTTTCAGCTAGCTAACTTCATCAGTCAGACTCATCGGTACTCTTGAGATGTTTGCTCGTTTTTCACTGCTGTGCTGTCACGGCAATCGTTTCAGATGTGCATGGGCGTGTCCCATCGGGGCTTGTTACCTGTGCCCCCCTGAGCATTGCTTCCTCTTCTCCCCTCGCCTCCCCCTGCTGCTGTTTTCTTCTGCTGAGCTGCCCTTCTCTGCTGCTTCTGGAACAGTTTGTCCATTTTCCAGCTCCGGAGGGGAGCGGAGCGTCCTTCTGTATTCTTTCCTGCTGCACCTTTATCATTCTGTGTCTGCAAAGTTTTATCAACACTCGCAACCCTTTATGTCCACCTGTATATGAGCTGTGAATACTTCCATGCGTTCATAACGAAGCTGCAGTGGTAATAAGCTTATGATAATTCCACTGGGTAGATCTGGTTAATAAAACTGCTTTGTTAGACTTGTAGCACCTGGCCTTTGGGGAGATGTGACAGATTCTCTGTAAGTCCAGACAAGAAAAGCCTCTTACAGCTCATACACTCCCACCTCTTCACCTCACATCTCTCTAATAACCCCTGCCTTTACGAGCAGACTGCTTATGTGTGAGAGCTTTGAGGCTTTGTACCTGAAGATCGTATCTGAAGGCTTAAAATCTCCATCTATCTCCTGTTTGTGTAATGGAGGGGGAGAACATGCTCACGTATTTTGTTTTGCGTTGCAGTGAGGCAGCAGCCCACGCTGTAGCGACGTTGGCCGAGGCTACTCTTCAAGGAGGGGGGCAGATTGTCCTGGCAGAGACGGCAGCTGCTGTCGGGGCTCTTGCAGGGGTTCAAGATGCCACAGGTATCTCTTCACTCCACAGCTGTGGAAACACAACACGCATGCAAATACACACAACATTCCTCACATCAACTTTTATGAGGCTGGTGAGGCTTGAAAGGTCATAAATCATTTTTCATCTAAATTCCACAGCTTGCTTTTTGTCCGTATATTTTCTAATTATTACTTTTTCACCCATCGTTGATATTTCTGATTAGCTTTACCAAGTGTAAGCTTCCCACCAGTCATGTTGCAGTGTTACTGCAACCCCCCTTCTAATCTGCTCTGTGCTGATTTGACAGATGGTGTGTTTTTGTCTGTGTGCACTTTGAAGCCTTGCTTTTAATAATATATTTGTATAAGGCTGCCTCTTATGTTTGTTAGTCAGCATTAAAAAGCTCAGTGAGTATCCTCATATTCCTTCCACATAGGAAATACACAAACCTAAAGCATTATCCTAATCAGTTGGGGTGTTTCTGACAGTTACCATATTTTCCACCGTACGTGTCGCACCGCCCTATTTCAGTCCAAATATGTCTAATAAAGTGGAAAAATCCATACATGTGTTGCATTGCCGTATACATTACATCTATTATGCGTCACCGCTGACAACCCGGAAATGTGGGCCGGTGTTGTGCCAAAAATCGATGGACTGCCAAATGGCGGCCGCGGGAGCATGCACAGGAGGACTTTAACAAGAATTTAATAAGATTAACACTTAAAAACAATTATTTGTTTGCTCAAAATCATAGTAAAGATATATCTCAGTTTAACTTTTACTTAATAAATGCACTTTGACGGTCAAATCAGCTGCATTTTGCCGGGGCGACGCTGAAATGAAGCTGATTCAGTTGCTCCAGGCAGACGATGGTGGCAGTCTATGGCAAGCCCATTGTGTCATTAATAGTCACTTTTACCTATTACATGATACAACGGCATGCCTTACTGTTTAACTGCCATCTAGTGGCTAGAAATGGTAGTGTTCAATATTTTCAGTCAGAATGAATAAAAACGTCATCTCTCAGCCAAAAATTTGTTTATAAATATGGGGGGGGGGGAATCCATCAATATGTCACTTTGGCCTATAAATCGCAGGGCATGCAAATTATGCAAAAAAACGTGACTTATACAGCAAAAAATATGGTAAATTGGTCACTAATACACACAAAACACATCCTGTCAAAATGGCCTTTAGTTGTAGCATTGATGAGTACCATATTAACAAATGCTAGTTTAGAGACATAAACAGGTTCCTCAGGGTTCCTTCTAAATAGATTGAGTCATTTTTTTTATTACAGCATACTATTTGTACACATATTACTAATCCTCACTTAAATATTTGTCCTGTTCAAAATCTGCTGTGAAACTTAGTAAATATAGAGCCAAAACTTAAATCCATCAGTGTTTGTCTGTAGAAGCATCGGGAAGAATGAGAACTTCACTTTCACAGGGAAGCCAGCCGTTCCCTGATCTATTGGCCTCGGCTAATCACAGGCTGTACAGAAGTGAAGAGAACCATTTGAAGTGCACTGGCCCTGACGCAGGGCTGATTGGCTTGTGTTGAGAACCTTCACAGACAAAAAAACACACACAGCAACACACATACACAAATACAGCTACTCTGCCTTAATGTCAAAGCGAAACTGTTTGTTTGAGTGGTCTGTTGAGGCACTTCAGTACCAGTCCACGAGCTCCAGAAGCCCTTCTCTGCAATCACTTCACAAGCATCAGCACACATTAACATTGTCATAAATCACAAGCTTTGTGTTTTGGAGGGGTGGGCTCAGTAGGAAACTACAAAAGGGACAAAAAATATTTAGCAACAGGAGCAAATGTTCTCAAGCAGAACTGCAGAAATCTTGGATTTGGAAGGATTGTGTACTTGATGCGTTAACCGTACAGCTATCTCCTACACTGACGTTCTTGCCTGCCTGTGGCACAATGACAGCTTGCAGGGTGGGGCAGTGGCCCACATGACTGCAGCCGTAATCCCTACAGGAACACAAGCACAGCTGGGAATGGGGGGAAGCGAGCTGAGGACATCCAATCGAAACATTGTTCAGAAAAGCCTTTCCTGTAATATGGACTGTCATAGACAACTACCGTATTTTTTGGACTATAAGGCGCACTTAGAACCCTTTAATTTTCTCAAAAATTGACAGTGAGCCTTATAATCAGGTGCGCCTTACGTTTTAATCCTGGTTGTGCTTACTGACCTCGAACCGATTTTATGTGGTTGTTGTGAATGAATCGAATAAAATTTGACTCATCTGTTTTGTTTCACTTAATGCGCCTTATAGTCTGAAAAATATGGTACCTCTAGACTTGATGGCCTCCTAATAACCATCTAAATCACAGTTACAGGGAAAATAAATAAAACCAGAGGGACATGGTTAAAAGTTGAGAGGATGAAGCTCATGCTGTGTGTCTTCTCCTTAGGTTTGGTCCAGATCCCAGTCAGCATGTACCAGACTGTAGTGACCAGCCTCGCCCAGGGCAACCGTCCGGTTCAGGTCGCAATGGCGCCTGTCGCCACACGCATAGATAACACTGTCACACTGGACGGCCAGGCGGTGGAGGTTGTGACCTTGGAGCAGTGACACTATGGACCTTGGAAGGAGTGGAACGCACTGAACAGCCACCTTGGAGATTTGTTTTCTCCTCTTTTCCAAGACAACACATTGTGTACAATGTTGGATATATTTTTAAACGTATACATCTGCAGGGGGAAATACGTGATTGATAATGCATTGTGTTTACTATGTAAAGATATTGCTTTTGTTGGTGTTTCTTTTTTTTTTTGTCTTTGGTTATTTTCATATTTTTTAACTGTGATGTTGAGTGTGTAGTATTTATTTCCTTACAAGTAACCCAAGATGAACCAAAAAGCCTGGGAGTAAAGCCACCTCTGCACCACTCAGACTGTCAATGTTTTGGATTTTTGGTGTAATCACTGCTGGACTATTCAGTTTTTAGTATAGACTTAAATTGGTACTGTAGTCAGAAACCTCCCTTTTTTCACATTCCCCATTCTGAAAGTCTTATCCACCTGTCTTTCTGTAAAAGACATCATATCTGCTGCATACACTCCCATGAACATTTCTCACATTAGATGAGGAAATTTAGCACTGAAGTATTGTCCTGTCATGCCTTTCCCTTTTACTATAGCCCACAGACATGCCAAAATGTGCAGAGACTCAGGATATCCATCAGTGTTTACTGCTGCGATCGCTGAATAGACCTCGTACCAAACTTGTTTATTTATAGTGCATGGAAATCAGTGGCACCCATTAGTGTGTTATTTTTAAAATGAACTTCTTTCTGTAGCTGTCTTTAGTCTAAATATTCATCACTTCATACAACACAGGAAGTTGCACTTGGAGGAGAGCTGCAATGTTTATGACGCAGAGGAGCATTTTAAGCTAAATGAATGCTTGTCAAAAAAGTGTTGGATGTGGCTATAACAAAAGGTTTAACACTTGCCAAACTTGTCTTTGAAAAATAAAGTCCAGAAAAATGGTTGCTGTTAATTATTCAGGTAGTTACTTTGTGTTTTTAGGAAACTGCCTTGGCATATCTACAACTCCTGAAACATTTCTTTAAAACAATTCTTTAGCAAAACCACTTTTACATTTTGTAGACAAATGTCCTGAACTTTTTGTTTATAATCGCAGTTCATTTACCGGTAACTGTGGTTCCCAACCCTGGTCCCTGAGGAACACCATCCTGCATGTTTCAGTCGTTTCCTGCTCCAGCACACCTGATTCAGTGATTCAGTTACTTCCAAGTTCTGCAGAAGTCTGTTAATCACCCATTCATTCAAATCAGGTGTGTCAAAGCAGGGAAACAAAACATGCAGGATGGTGTTCCTCAAGGACCACTGTTGGGACCACTGATTTAACTAAAGGCTTGTGACCATGATACAGCAAAATGGGCCCCAACCATTAAACATCCACCACACTAGACAAATCGGATAAACTTATGGTGGAATGTAATGTTTCTAACCTTATGGACAGTTACTCCATTTGTTTAAGTTTTTGTAACTATTATAAATGAATGGCATGACTGAATGTCAACTTTTTTTACGTTTCACCATTTTTTGAAGCTTGACAACCTTTTTTCTTTTCTCTTTTGTACCAAAGCTGAATTTCTCCACATTTGTAGCCATGGCAGTACACTTGCCACAAAACCTGATAACCTCTTGCACTCCTCTCCTCCCCCACCTTTCCTGCAGCGACAGACAGGGCCTGGATTACATCATAAGCTGCCTGAACCTCCTCTACTTTAAAGCCTGGGATTTGCTGGCAGGGCCCTTCTGTTGCAGAGCAGAACAGAGAGAGAGAGAAGTGTTCAGGCCTTAATCTATCAGGCGTCATATAGTGTGTATCCTGCTCTTCCTCCAGATTAAAGCTGGAGCAGGCTCCATTCAGACAGATGAAAGATTCCCTTTTTTAATATTCTCCTCTACCACTTTAGACTGGAACCCTGGGTGAGCCCAAACTTGTGATTGTATTCATGTGTGCACCTGTGATGTTTGAGTTTCTAGCTGCAGCTCACATGCAAATTAACTAGATTACAGGCCTTATTAGCATGCTTTCTTGAAAAAAACATTTCTCTACACCATCCATTTACTCATTTTAAGGTTCGTTTAAACCTTTAAAATGATTGTAGCTAAAATCTATTAGGTTAATACCAATGAAATGTAATTCTTTCTCTACATATATGCATACATGGTTTTACTTATCCCAAATTTACCTTAGGTTTTTGTCATGCTAAAATATAAGGGATACTTGTACTTCAGCTCGAATCCAAAAAAAAAGTATCCCAACACCGCCACCAAACTGACATGGCAAAAAGACAAAGAAGACACAAATGAGACTCCTTTTTTTAAACAATTTATTGCAAAGAACATTTGAGGGATGAAACAATTCCAAGAGGCAAAATTTGTCTAACCTACTTGATAAGATTGTCAGGAAGTCATAACAAGATCACCAGTCTCTTCATACGTATGTTGAAGACTGCATCACTTAAACTTACAGTGGTTCCTAACCCTGGTCCTCGAGGAACACCATCCTGCATGTTCTAGTTGTTTCCCTGCTCCAACACACCTGATTCAGTGATTTAATTACTTCCTCGTGTTCTGCAGAAGCCTGTAAATCACCCATTTATTATAGTCAGGTGTGTCGGAGCAAAGAAAAAACTTAAGCATGCAGGATGGTGTTCCTCAAGGACCAGGGTCGGGAACCCTTGACTTTAAGGCTGACCTGCGTTATATCACAGTGAGCAGACATGACAATTTTGTTGCCTCCTAATGAGGGCATCTCAGAAGACCCAACAGTCTGAAAATATTCCATTTAGTCTAAATAGATTGGTATGAATATTGAATAGTGTCAGTTTTATGATTTCTATACAGTCATAAAGACCTCAAAAAGTCTTGCTTTAGTGGTTCAGAAGAGCCAGTGTTGTGGGACACTGCACATCACCTTCAGTCGCTGAATCCCTCATCTAACCTCAGATCTTACTTTTTAAACCATCCAGTGTTGTAGCCTTCAGTCCTCAATAGGTTTTGTGGTTGAAGAGATTTGGGAAAAGAAAAGGTGCCACCATTGACCCTCGGTTGATGGACAGGGCTGCAGCCATGGCGTAAGTGGTGTTCATCTACAGGGGGCACTGCAGGGTGAGAAGGGAGGGGTTAGGTCAGAGCTTTAATCTCAACTAATCGTTTCTTAATACATGCATCCCAGGCCCTCCACCACCTCTGCATGCATGCACGCACATTCAGCACATATGAGCTCCCACTTGCTCTAACAAGATGTAATCTCCTACTCTTCTCCTGAGTACAGGGTTGAGCAGAGCCACAGGCTAAGACATCGTCCCTCTTGAACTCTATAACCCGTCAATGTTTAGGTTCTTCTGGAAAAATACTCTCCCCGTTGATCACTTACATTTAAACCCCTATGGAAACTGTTCGATCAGTGGAAAAGCAGACAAAGGGATGTCATCAAATCCAGACAAGCTGCTGATGAAGCGGCTTCTCCTTTAATGTAGGATAATAGTCTAATAATGGCCCCCTCACCTTCCAGACTCACACCTCTGCCCACCTCCAGCTCAGACACTGCGTAAGAACGCCGATAATCTGATTCCACTAATGCTCTGCATTAAAAACACAGGAGAAGCACTGTCTCAGCTCGGAGCTACCCGCCCAGGAAACTGTGAGCCAGTCAGAGAGAGAGAGAGACCCAGGGAGAAAGGGGCCGCAGGGTGAGGGTGGGGGTGGTGGGGCTGTGGGATAGAGCGCACACTCAAAAATGCAGTGTAACCTGAGCTGCTCGGCCCATCTGGAGAAGGCCTCGCATTGACAAGGGTTATCCCACAATGCACTTTGCTGCAGAGAAGATCGTTAGAGGGAGGCTGACACAATGAATGCAGTCTTTTTGAAAGAATTTATTTGTATCGCACATAAGAGACTTTCTGAGCTGAAAATGAGAAGAAAAAAACAATATGTTCCTTCGATATGGAGGTGAGTCAGCAGGTGCAAGCACATTCACAAGGTACAGCCAAACCTGCGGACTTCAGTGTCAACTACACGTCTTGTCTGTGATGTAGATCAAATATAGTCCGCAAACTGTTGACAATACAAATTATATTAGTTAATGCTGATGTGTAGGCTATAAAGCAGGATTAATGCAGAGGAAGATAAAGAGATTTTAATCCCCAGATCCCCCTGTCACCTACATTAGCAGACCCTGACCCAGATATATAGAGCTCAGAGCAGCTTTTTGGGGGGCAAACCATCAATCCACTGTTCGAGCAGCGTATGAGAGAAAGTCCCCTGCTTTCTTTTTTCATTTGAGTTAGGGAGGCAACAAGGCCGCATTGAAAGAGGAGGGTAAGACGACACCGCACGGTTTGCCAATTATGCCACAGAGTTAAGAGAGGAGCCCTCTGAAGGCAGAGTACAGCTGGACGTCTGCGCATACCGTCCACTGCAGCACGCTTCACGCTGCCATGTCTTGATCCAAGTCCACCTGTCAGCGCTGAAGGGGAAAGCGAGTGATGAGCAGAGGAATCCATTAAGGTTATAGCATTATCAGCATGGAGCAAACAACAAACAGTCTCTTCGTCAAATGCATTCATGAGTCCAGTGACTGATGGGTTTTGGTACTGACAGCTCACCCCATCGTTTGTTTCAATAATACATAAGTTCGTCTAGTCCACGCTGTAAAATGTTCTCAGTTCTCTGCAGTGCTTTAATTGCTTTATGGGTTGCTTGTTCCTTTTTTTTTTAACCTATAACGCAAAAGCTTAAGACTTTCAAGTCAAGGTCATCTTGACATTCATGGAATTGGTCATATTTTCTCAGGCTACCCTTAAAGGAGTCAGTTGAGCTCTGAGGCCGGGGTGTGTAGGGGAGGATCAGAGTCTCACCCCACCTTTCACACCATCAGCCACTCACTCGCTGACTTTAAACGCTCTTCAGATGTTTATTCAGCTAAAGGCCTGGCTTCATCCTCTGCGTTGCGTTCGGCTGCTGGATGCTCTCAGGCAGTAGTTGGCAAATCTAGAACCACCGGATCCATCTACCTCACCAGTGTGAGTTCTACCATTGCCAAACACCACCAGAGAGCTGCGGGGGCCTCTTCAGACCCACACAGATCAGAAGATCACAAGGCAAAAGCGATGAAAGTCTGTCTTGTCCTATATTGGCACTACACATAATTGCTCAAAGTATATATACAGAAGCAAAAATGTGCTAGTGCCAAAATGGGCAAAGAAGAGGAGCGGGCTTCCAGATGCAAGCAGCTGTTGCCATAGAGACACACACGGATGAATAGACGTTAAAGTCTCCAGCAGTATGTCACAAACACGGCTCATGCAACAGTACCAGAGCTATTACATCACATTTCCCCCACCGCCCACCCAGAAGCACAGGAGAGGACAGAAAGTACTCCACCACAGACGGGTACCATCAAGTGGTTCTTTCTCTGCTCTGTTTATGGCCCTAT